AGAAAACCGAAGAAAACGTTCGTTACTGTTTCTGCAATTTAAATGCTGAGGTATATCTTGACGATTAGAATTGAGATAAAATCTCGATTGAAGTAACGCGCCGAGATGCTTAATTTTCGAGGTTGCCTCGACTTGCCGGATTTCCGACGATCGTTGGTTTAGATTGTGGTCGGTATCAGCCCGTAGCACCCTCGGTCAATTAATGTGGTTAATACGGCGACAGCGGGGTATGAATCAGGACCAGCACCTGTCAAAAATTTACGCCGGTATGCTCACTAGCTCTCTCTCTCTCTTACTTCTTCGCTTCTCTGTTCTCTCTCTGTCCCTCCGTCTGCCTATGTGCCGTTACGTTATTTCCGAAATAAAAGGAACGGGAGTCGCGTAGGTTTATATACGCATGAATATGCAATTTCGGTCGACGGGTGGTCGCGTGTGAAACCGAACTTGCTTCGCGTGTACCAGGCACCCTGTGCACATTCAGAACCGCGTCTCCTCTCTCTCTCTCGTATATCCGGTCGAAAAATTCGTCTAGTGACACACGACGTAATGCAATTTCCGGAAAATGGAATTATTCTGTTTTCGGAGAAACTCGCACTTTTTTTATCAATATTCAAACGTCAAAGAATTATTTAATTGGGTATTATTACAGAATCTACTATTATTATTTTAAATAATCGAATTCTTGATGTTTCCAGTCAATAATTAAAAGGAGAAATAATTTTTACGACCAATACTGCCTGATAAATATTTAATAATCACCACACAACGTTTCGACCATGAGTTTTGGTCCTTCTCAAGTGTACTTAAAATTAAAAACCGTGAACATATTATGCGGATAAAACTTCTTGTCGAACCGTGATAAAAAGAGGAAAAAAATGATAAACAAATTTTTTTTTATCACAGTTCGACAAGAAGTTTCATTCGCATAATATGTTCATACGGTTTTTAATTGTCAGTATTGGTCGTAAAAATTATTTTCCTTTTAATTATTATTTTAATCGTATTTGAAATATTGTTTATGTATTTACTTATTATATATATATGTAAATAACGCAGTGTGCAACAATTAATAGCGATGGCTAATTATCAAGTATTGACAAGTATTACAATATTATAAATAGACAAATGTGTTGTATTGATAAATGATAAATATTAGGTATTACATTAAACAGAGACAAATATCGAACATGCCCTCAATGTAAAATATGTTCGCGATAATTGTCTGTTTAATGTAATAACGCACTTGTCGATATGACACATTTTCCAGATATCTGTTATATCGTCTATTAAAAAGGAGACAGAATTGTATGACAGAAACGTGAACGACAAATCGCGAGGCTGTTACATCTCTTACATCATTTTTTGCGCACGCCTTTCCATCGCCTTTCCGATATAGGAGGAGTCGAAGAAAGAAAAAAATCATACGCTTTGCGCGCTCTAGAGAGCAAGAAAAAAATGAGTGAGTTTAACGGCTCAGAAATAACGCGACCCTAAGCTGCAACCGGAAGGAACATCTTACGTCGGGGTGCCAATAAATGCTGCCACGATTATCGATACTTCTTTGTTAAAGTGACGTGTTCATCATCCGTTGCCATCGTCTGAACTTTTCCGATACTTTTCTACTACCTGATCCATTTGACATTACAGTTTTTCATTTTTTACGGGCTGTTCCTTTTTTATATCGATATTGATGTACGCGATAATAATAAATTTTGATACTTCAAGAATAAAAGAATACACGTAAGTACATATATAGTTCTATAATTCTTTAAGTAAAATATACATTTATTTGAAAAAAAAAATATAGAAAATTTAAAATTCAACAAAAGTTTCCTAAACAAAATTTAAAAACGTACAAGTCTATATCTCTCCCTACCGTTTAATGTTAATTATATACGCGTGCGCTTATTTTCTGCAGCTGTAACGAAGTGCCTGCCATCGGTTAAATTGATTTTCATACAATTATAATTTTAATTCTACTGTAAAGCATGCAATGTCACCTGTCACTGCAAAAAAAACTCTATTGTACACCTGTCTGATTGCAAAATAATTATCGATTTCTCTATTAATATATTCCTCTGATGAATAATACATGTTCCTGCGATTTTTCTCTATTCAACTTTTTAAGTTGTATATACTTTTCTATATAATGATATTTAAAGAATTAAATGTTTAACTTTTATGTATCACAAATATTATAAATATTTATGTCAAATAGCATTGATTTTGAACTAATATTATATTTAAATATGGTTTATGATACTATAATCAAGTTATAAAATTTGTTATCTATTCAAATTTCATTATTTTTCAATTCCAAATGTAGTCTAGGAGAATTTATACATTTAATTAAAAGTCTCAGAATTGTCTAGTAATTTTCCCGAATAATAATGTATTAAATTTTATTTAAATTTTATTATTATCATTACCGATAATATATAGGTAAAAAAGTTATATATTAAATTACTAACGAGAAAATTGTGAAAAGCAGTACAAAGATGTGATAAAAGATTATTTTTCTAATAAGAGTTAAATTAAAAAAAAAACTTTTAAATCTTTTTTTCTATTTTAAAATAAAAACAAAATTAGAAGATTATTTTTAATTTATTTGGAAAAAATAAAATTATATTTGCATATTTTGTGCAAAAGACTTTTGTATCTCGTCTTTTGTCGTTCTATCTCATTTTAGCTTTTAGATGAGTGTAACAGTCAATCGCGCGTTAGATGAACGGCTTCTTTGTGTTCATAAACACGCAAACCGTTTCTAATTACATGCTGCGACGACATGCGGGGCCTTGTGGTCGTAATACAACCGCGGTCCGCCACTCCTGAATAACAAGATCATATTGGCTACCATGATCCCTCATATTGATGCATACTATATATTAAGATCGATGCGCAGTGGCGCAATGTATATACACAGTGGCGAATTTATTTTCGTTAAGTTTTTCAAACGCACCGAGACTTCGAAGTTATTAATGATATCAATAATGCTTTGTAAAATTAAATTATCACTGCATTATATATGTATATATAAATATTTTATACAAGTATATATGAAAATATTTCTACTACATTGTATGCCTGAAAATTTTTGACTCTTGTGAAATATTGAATAAGAACTTAGTAAGTGAATTAAAAAAAAGATATATAATTTGAAGATATTAATTTGAGAATTTATAATTATGAATAAATTGAATAAGATAAATTTAGGGCACTCTGTAGATTCGAACAATGTGAGTATATGTCTACAGAATTCTACCAACGCAGCTGTCCCGCATGTAGCGATCTATCTGCAGATGATCAGTGCGGTTTTTTCGACGGTCTTCGCCATTTTTCACGTCACTATGATCTAACGTTTGCGAAGTTTCGAACGTCTCGATATCGAAGATTGACCGAGTCGGCAAAAGAATAATATTTGTTCACCTTGCTCGAACAGATTGGGTGTCCGAAAAATATTCTGATCCAATTCGCACAGTTTGCCAACACATGGAGTCGTCATATCAAAGCTCGATATCAATGTAGGGAAATTTTTTACAGATAGAGAAATATTTTTCGATGAATTGATCAAATACAGAGAGGAGTTACAAACAATGACAAATATCTAGATTTTAAATCTGAATGATTAAATTATTATATTTGCATTTTAATTATTCTGACATTTTTCGAAATAAGTATTGGAGATAAATATTGTTTCTATATGTTTGCCTGATGCAATCATTAACTGTCAATCGTTTTGTAACGCTATTTTTGAATATATTGTGAAAGAGGACAGAAGAGAAAATCTTTCAAAAAATTGTCTTGCATGATATCGATTTTCAAGTGGAATAACCATCACAAATATAGTAATTGTCAGTCAGATTTCAATGAATCGTGATAGATTCGCCAAAGTATCCTGGATTTAAAGGATCATCAGGAATATATAAAGAATTTGTCCGAATAATCGGACTCTCTGAACGGTGAATGAAGAAAGGAAACGACGGGTGTCCTTGACACGTGCCAAAGCGGAGGAGTTCACAAAGAATTCTTCCTTGCCTTTCGTATCTCCAGAAGCCGTTGTACCGTATATAATCTTGGCATCTTTTCAAAATATCCTTCGTGATATTGGCGAGCGTAAAATGAATTCGAGGTTTTCGCTTATTTGCGGTGCAACCGAGTGGTCATTTTTTGATGCGAGCGAAACGTGACTTATATGTCTTTGATGCAACTCCATTCATATAATTATTTTGTCACAACTGTGTTCTGGATTTAATGATAATAATATTCTACAAAAATTATCGTCAAGCAATTTTTGGTTTATTAATTCAGAGAGAATGACAGGGTGTATACTCAAATCTTATAAATAAATTCCCTGAGAATTCCATGATTTTCCAGGTACTTTTGTTCAAAATTCCAGGTAAAATTAAAGTATTTAAAAAAATTTTAAATACCATTTTAAAATAAGTTTACTTTTGTTATACATAATTTTTTAATATAAATAAAATATTTTTTAATATAATAATATATTATAATTTACAATAAAATATATTTTAATATACTTTATATGAACCTAATCAATTTTATATTCCTTAAAAATATATTTGAAAATAAAGTCAAAGGGACAATTTGTTTTCAGGTTTTTTCCGGGGGATTATACATCCTGAATGAGACAAAAATTTTATATCGCAATAAATCAAGATTTATTAATTTTTTGGAACATGAAAGAAATGCAAAAACACGTGAGTGAACGATGAATTGAGATGAATCGGGAGACATCCACCGACGCTATTGATATTAAAGATCTTCGCTTGACGCGATTAGAGTGGCCGATGTGGTCAAGTCAGGTTTAAAGAAGGGGAATCGAATACGAGAGGGATAGAGAGAACTGCGGTTAAAGCAGGAGAAAGAGAGACGAATGGGTCTCTCCTGTTCCCTGAGTTACCTAGGGACCCCTTCTACATAAGGCCCCGGTTCTCACCCTACTTCGTCAGTGTAGTGGCGGCCGTTGAAGTGCCAGGTTACCGACACCTCGGTGCTTTACGATATTTCGTGACTCGAACAGTGTCGACGATCGAAATCAAACCGTAACCGTGCTATGTGGAACACTGTGTTCTCGAAAAAGTGATTCGTTATCGGTTCCAGTGTCGGATGTTTAGCTGAACTTTTCGGCGCCAAGGACGCAGTGAGTAGCTCGCTTCATTCGTTCGTTCTTTCAGTCTTTTTTTCATGCCGAAGAAGGCTCGCGCTGACCGGTTTCGTGAAGATCGGTATAAAGGTCAAAGTGTGAAATTAGTGGGAGGTTCAAATTTCTAACGAAAGAATACGAAAAGAATATATATTTGAAAATATTGCGTTTTTATTTTACTTTGTTTAACAAAATATTTTTCGGGCATTTTTAATGCGCCTATTTTTGTCGAATCGTAATAATTTAGAGCTAACAATTATATAGTAGTTTTATTATACGTTTTTATTAAACTGCAGATATAAATTTTTAAACAAATTTTAAAAAGTTCGATTATTTTTTGATTAAAATTTAAATGTCCAAACAATTTTAGAAATGTTAAATTAGGTAGACTATAAGAATTAAATAAACTAATTAAATTTTAAATAGATAATAAAATTTTTAGTTGCAAATTTCAAATGAATTCAATTTTAGGCAAATATTTATTTTTTGGGGATTTAAATGTCAAAATAATTAATCTAGCTGAAAATTTCAAAAGTAGGCAAATACAAATTTATGCCAGCTTAAGTTTTAATTTTATAGTTAATTCAAAATTCAAATTGTAAATTGGCACAAAGTTTTACTCTTAGTAGATAATAATGCAATTATGTAATACCGCGCGAAATTAATTTATCATTTCATTAAGTGGTTTTTGACTAACGTAAATTAAATTTAATGTTTTGTTAATTTTCATTTAACTGTATGCATAATTAATTTAAAAAATTTTGCGGATTAATATATTTTCTATATAAAATCGTGCAATTATTAAATTAAAAAAAATATCTGTCAGAATACGAGTGCATTTTTAAAGTAAGTTTTAGTGTTGTAAAAATTTTGTTACTTTTTCCAAACGAAAGTCGCTACACCATTACACCAGAAATCTCATGACCCTTCTCTTTGAGGGAGTAAACGATCGCTTAATTGCTCAACGGTTGTACCTCGCATTCGTCAGACATGAAACAATGGCGCCTGCTTGCTTGCACATTGCAGCTATTATGCATCATTAAAAGGGGTGCAACTATACTCTTTTCTTTTTTTGCATACTCCCTCGTTTGCGCAAACTTTTTTCGTTTATTTTTCTGTCTATATACTCTCTTTTTATTTCTCATATTAATCAGTCGTTCGACTATTTTTAAACTTTCTTTGTCAAAAATTTAAGAGCTAGTTTTTATGCAAATTACCTGTTAACAAATTAACTTCCCTTTATTTCGAATTTTCACGGCTCATTGATTCACGCGATCAAACGTATCCTTTGACGTGATTCGTTTTTATGAAAGCTAATCAAAGTTGAAGCAATAGTAAACTAAAATTAACTAAAATTAATAAAATTTTTACGCATCGAGAGACGTGAGGATCGGTCTGTCTGTTCATATTTCATCGACCCTATGAATAACATCTGCCTGCGTGAAAAATGTTAGATGCAGTCCCTTTGCTGAATTCTTTGATTGATTCTATTTCTATTTATTACTTTATCCGGAAGAAAGCGTGGATTTATTATTATACGATAATATAGAATTACAAAATTTTTCACAAACGTCACTCTCATTTTGTGCAAAATTTGTGCAAATAGTCATCATATAATAATAAGTGTAATTAAAGAATAATTCGTGAAGCGATTATAATTTTATACATTATATTTTTATCCTCTACTTATTATTATATTACATTATAATTTCTTAGAGTTCTATTGACAGAGGATTGAATTTTTGAATTTTCCATACACACAACTTATCTTCACTCTCATTGACTCTGCAAAAATGATGCAAAATTTGTGCAGAATAATTTCGTATCATTCCTTCACTTATATTATCATATAATAATAAGTGTAATTAATTAAAGAATAATTCGTGAAGCGATTATATTTTTTTTATACCTGTATATTCATTTTACCCTCTACTTATATTATTATATTACATTATAATTTCTTAGAGTTCCATTGACACAGAGGATTGAATTTTCGAATTTTCCATACACACAACTTATCGTCACTCTCATTGACTCTGCAAAAATGATGCAAAATTTGTGCAGAATAATTTCGTATCATCTTCACTTATATTATCATATAATAATAAGTGTAATTAATTAAAGCATAATTCGTGAAGCGATATATTTTTTTTATACCTGTATATTCATTTTACCCTCTACTTATATTATTATATTACATTATAATTTCTTAGAGTTCCATTGACACAGAGGATTGAATTTTCGAATTTTCCATACTTATCTTCACTCTCATTGACCTGTATGCAAAATGTGCAGAATAATTCGTATCATTAATTATAATTGAAGCATTATATTTTTTATACCTGTATATTCATTTTACCCTCTACTTATATTATTATATTACATTATAATTTCTTAGAGTTCCATTGACAGAGGATTGAATTTTCGAATTTTCCATACACACAACTTATCTTCACTCTCATTGACTTTGCAAAAATGATGCAAAATTTGTGCAGAATAATTTCGTATCATCCCTTCACTTATATATTATCATATAATAATAAGTGTCCCCCTCAACACACCGAGAGGGTTAATGTGGAGTAGGGTTGAGTTTCTAAATTCGTCGAACGTGAGTTTACGGTCGTTTTTATTCACGATCGTGGGCATCATCGTGCGAAAACGTGACCGGCCTCGGAATCGCGGAGGCGCAAGGGAATATGGAACGAGGGTAGGAAAAAGAGATCGGGAGTCGTTGAGAAGTGTCCGGGGCTTCCTCGCTCTCTCGGTCGACCGGTCGAACAAAGGACAAGTGCGCCCTCGAGAGCGATGTTAGAACCTCGTCTAATTGTAAGACAGTCCTTTTTGATCGGAGTGACACGCGGGGCCCACGGGGACCGAAATAAGGGTTGGAAGGGGCAGAGCGCACACGCGTGTGCCTCGCGCGTACATCTGCCAGGAAGGTGGGGAGATCTCGCAAGACGACGGGCGAAAAAGGGAGGCTCTGAAAGGAGGGCTAGTTTCATGGGTCCTATACAAACTTCCCTGCGTCGATGGTGATGGAGAACCTCGTGGGTCCACCTCGAAGAGTCTTTTCTCGGGTTCGGCGCGTTCCGCCATTTAAATGCCCCTCGGACGTCGTTGCCAGGACTCGTTTCCTCATCATTGTTCCTGCCTTATTTTCGAGTCTCGTCCTTCCGAAGTCTTCCGAGGGATTTCAAAGTATGCGTACGTATGTGTGTATTCGCGCAAGTTTTGTGTGTGAGAGACCATCGCGATTCGCGAGTTTCCAGTTTATTCTCGATCGACCTCCGCATTTGTTCTCCTTTCGCTCTTCTCTCTTTTTTTTTTTCTCGTCTGATGGGTCCGGCCAGTCGCGCCTGCTTCGTACTCTCGCACTTCGTTTCTCCTCGAGTGGATCGTATCTCGAAAATTAGATTCCACTTTCGGTTTCTCCCGACCGGGGCATCACGATATATTTAAGATCGACGTCCATAATGGAATACGTAATATAACGAGCAGAATACATAATGGACCATGAATTTAAATCTGAATAAATCAAGATATATCAAAATGATTTATAATCTCGAGAGAATATGTATCTTCTGTTTGTTACTGCTTCTGAATTTTTTTTTTTAACTTGCAAAAAGTAGTTGTCATATATAATATATATATAATTTAATATATATTTTGAATGTCGTATAAAACATTGTAAATAAATATAAATAAATTTATACATATATATATGTAGGTTAAAAAAATAATTTGCACGACGAAATATTGTAAATAAATATAAAAAAAAAATAATTTTTATTTCATAAGTTACGCTTTTGAATTTTTTTAAGGCTCGAACAATTCCATTATTTTTGTCAGAGTTACGTTTATTCTTAACAGAACGAAAAATTGTGAGAAATCCGCAATTTTGCGCCTTCGCGAACCCGCCAAGAATCGCGGGTCGTGATTTTGATGGTGGATCCAGATCGGATGATGGAGAAACGCGCGACATGGGAACGTGTGCAATCATCTTAGGGACAGGTGTGCTCCAAATAACGCGCGGGCCCAGAGTCTCTCTTTTCTCTCTGTCTCCTCTATCGTGCACGATATGTTTTCTCTTTAGACGTCCTTCCATCTCGCCGCCAAACTCCGTTCCCCTAATCTCTTTCCGTTCCTGACGAGGCGAGTAGTAGCTAGTGAATGCGGCTTTGATTGTCGTCGGTTGGGTTCCCGAAAACCACCCTCCTCCCAGCATTTCGAGAAAATGGCGCTAGCAAAAGGTGCAGCCGGGGTCAATCCAATATAAATCAGAACTGAGTCTTGAAGCTTAGTCAAGGAGAGAGAAAGAGAAAGAGAGAGAGAGTGTGTGTGTGTGTAGAAAAAGTGCATGTATGTGGGCCCCAGAAGAAAGGGGGCCGATGAATAGAACATTTTCGGGAACAGCTCGCGACTCGGAACATTCGCGTGTATATAAGTATATGTATATGTATGTGTATACACGCACTCTCTTGTCCGCGTGTCTGTGAGATAACGTGAAAAAGAATTAGGTACAGGACCTCCACCTGCCTTCCCCTCTTCTTTTGGCGAATCCCGAGAATCTTCTCCGATAGGAATTTGGAGTTTCTCTTGTGTTCAAAACGATCGTTATTTTCCCCCTTTTTTTTCAAGCTAAAGTGCCTTGGGTGTTTTTTTTTATGTATTTTCGTTATCAATATTATGCGATAAGTTTCACATGCAGACCTTTTTAAAAGTCCTTATGTTGAAATTTGGAATGTTTAAAAAGAGATGAAAACTGCTGTTTGTAGTTTCTTATCATTTTCGATGTTTGATATTTACGGATGCGTTACAAGTTTGCTTGCTAAATATTTAAACAAATGATAAAAATAAGAAGCATGTATTCTATGTAGCATTAAAGATTATCACGATTTCGCTTCTATAAATAATATAATATATAATGCGCCCTTTTATATATTTTTTTATCAGTTTTAATGTTTGATGTTTAAGAAATTGGTGATATGTTTCACAAA